CATTGTGAGTTCTAGGACAGCCAGAGCTACAGAGTAAAACCCTGTCTCAGAAAGAAAAAGTTATTGTAATAAACACTCAAAATCATCAGATAGCTGCATTAACATACCCATCAAAATACTTGTCTAGTTCCAAACCCTATACATCTCAATAAACTTCCATGCTGTCAGAATAGTTTTTCTGATGTCAAGGTTTACATTTTCACTATCAGTTACATTTTCATGCACTTACCACCACAAGAAATATATATATGTGTACATATATATATTATATATATATATGCATCATTGCATTATCTCTGAATTGTATCCATCTCTGAAATCTGTTCTTCTGCTTGTTCTTGTCTGTCTGTGATGGCATCTGTTGTGGATTTTACTTGATGAGCCTTCTCATTTACCTGTGTTTTGTTTTTTAATGTCTCAGTCTTCTTGCCAAAATTTTGTTCTATATTTTGGGCTTTTACCTCCAGTTTACTGTTTCATTCACTTTTGAGACTGTCTTGTTGAAGTCTAGGGTAGATCTCTTTAATTTGTCCATGTTTGAGTCTTCTATATGACCACTGATTCTTTCAAAAAGTAAGACTGATTGTTGGTAGATTTCTCCTGTGCTGACAGCCACTTCCAAATAACCACTCAGAAACTTAATATTATTAATTGTAAATGCTCGGTTGATAGCTCTGGCTTGTTACTAGCTCTTTTACTTCAAATCAACCTATACCTTATCTACTGTGTGCCACGTGGCTCATGGCTTGTTAACCTCGTTTTCTACATGTCCTGTTTCCTCTGTGCCTGCTGGCATCTCCCTGACTCTGCTCTTTGTATCACAGCATCCTTAGTTTGCTTACCCTGCCTATACATCCAGCCTGACTACCGGCCAGTCACTGTTTCATTAAACCAATTCGAGTGACAAATCTCTGTAGTGTACAAGAGGATTATTCCACAGCACTCTGAATTCTTAGACATTCATCTATCTGTGTGCTTTTGGATTCCCTCATAAGGGAATGTTTGTTTGGGATGGGTCATGGAAGGTGGCTGTATCATAGTCTTTGTGTTTCTTTGTTGTATTTTGTGTATCTCTTAGAGAATGTTTGACTTTTACTTGTGACTTCCCCATCTTTGGAGCTTTCTGGATTCTTCCTAGAGGGTTATCTGCATGAAATTTAACTACATGGACTGGAGAGATTTAGTGTTGTCAAGTATAGTTGCTTAGGTAATCCCACTGTAGCTATGTGTGGTGATATAGTATTTATGATTTATTAAAGCTTGCCTGAGGATTCGGAAAGCAAAGTCTGCCTCAAGCTATAGAGATCAGGCAGTGGTGATATACATCTTTAATCCCAGCAGCCATAATGAAAGGTGGTGGTGGTACATCTTTAATACCAGGACTCAGGATTAAGAGTAGATTGATTTCTGTTAGTTCAAGGCTACACTGACTCCACAAAATTGACCCAGTCCTAAAAGAAACAGCTCACACAAAGGTGATCTCAGCACCTGGGGACACATGCCTTTAATCCTAGCACTGGGCAGAAGAAGGAATGTAAAGAGGAGGAGACAGGCTCTGAGAGCCTTTTGCCTCTGAAGATTCATGGGACAGGATTGCCATTTCAGCTGGGTAGAGATAAGATCTACTGGCTTGGCTGCTTTGCTTCTCTGATCTTCAGCTTGAAGCTTGAACCCCAATATCAGTCTCTGGGTCATTTATTTATCATGCAACAGCCAAAAGACCAAGGGTGAGGTGGCATATGAAGAACCAAGACAGCCAGATGGAGTCAGAACCTCGATCATTGCCTGGATCCTGTGGATCCACTGCAGGCCAGAATAGCAAATGTAAGACCCATTTAAGTATGGGCACCATATGTGGTATGTGGCTAAAGTGGGCCACAGTAGACCCCTGGGGTCCTGAAGTGACCACTAGAACCTCAAAATTCAACCCCCCACACACACTAATCTTGAAGGCCACTAAGACCTAAGCCCCAGTTTCTTAGGGGACCCTGGGTACACTAGAACTGAAGCTCCAGTCCCCTCAGTCTACTCTAAGACCACTGGGGCTGGAGGCTAGTGAGCCAGTGACTTAGTCCCAGGTTGCTTTCTGCTCCTGCAGAAATAATAAATGCCTATGGGTAAAATGCATTTTTAAAGGATTAGCTTATCTAATTTTTACTTTTAAATTTTCTTGTTTTTAATTTTTAAGAAAAATGTATTTGTGTGAGTGCTTTGTCTGCACGCCATGTGTGCGCCTGGTGCTCATGGCCAGAAAAGGATGTTGGATCCTTGGCACTGTATCACAAGTGGTTGTGAGCTGCTGTGTGGGTGCTGGGATTGAACCCAGGGCCTCTAGAAGAACAAGAGACATCTCTCCAGCCCAACATTTCTCTGTTCTAGAAATGTCTCTTCACAGCCAGGCAGTGGTGGTGCATACCTTTAATCCAGCCCTTGGGAGGCAGACGAAAGCTGATCTCTGTGAGCAAGGCCAGCCTTATCTACAGAACGAGTTCCAGTACAGGCTCCAAAGCTACACAGAGAAACCCTGTCTTGTAAAACCAAAGTCTCTTTATATTTTAAGGAGTCTAACAAAGTTCATATCTTAGATTCAGTCACATCCTAAGCTTTAACCTGTAAAAATTCACTTTTAGCTACTGACTCCTACATTCTGTCTCTCGTGATTATGTCTTTGGGTATGCTTACCACATTTCTCCTATGTAATGTCTGTGACCCTGAGCGTCCTAATTAGATTTTCTATCCTTTTGCTAAGAATGAACAGTGTCTTGCCTTCAATGATGTGTTAGCCAACAGGTCCATGATCGTCTTCATTTGCCCTCCAGAAGGTTATACCTCAACCCTTTATCAATGATTTCTGCAACCATTCATGATAATTTTGTAGATAATTTTGTGATCTACTTTCACTAGGGTTTGTAAAGTAACAGGGGTTTCCTATGTACTGCTCCATGTATCATAAATTAGCTGCTGCACTGTGTCTATAAAAAAAAGTAGTCTTTAGCTATATCATTATCCTCAGATATAGTTAACACAAAACAGACAGCATAGTTGATTCTTCTGTTATTTTTCAGAGTTGTATATTATTTCCTGAAAACATTGACTTTTTAAAAATTTATTTTGAATATTTCATGTGTCAGTCACTTTTCTGTGCTCCTGTCATGACCATCAGGAACTCCTTCAAGTCAGTCTCATGTCCTTCCAGGTGGCCAGTTCATTTCAGTAGTTTGCTGGCTTTTTGCCAGGCTCATCTGCCTTACTTAAAGTAATGCATATTACTTTAATGTTCTTTCATTTTTATATTAGTATCTTTTTTTCCAGCAATGAAAACCTTAGTTTTAAGTAGTATATACACATTTTTTTCCTCTTCTCCTGCCAGACTATGTAATCATGTCACTTAGGCACAATTTTAAAAGCTAAAGATTAGGAAGTATTCATAGAACACAAACTTTGCTGCTCAGGAACTGTTTCTTCTTTGTTTACAGCTAGTTCATCAGATTCCAGTTAAATACCTCTTTTAACATAAAAAATAATATGGGAAGGTTCATACAAAAATATATTGGGTGCTAGCCATGAAGATACACAGTTGTAATTTAGTACTTTGGGGCTGAGGAAGGATATTCAAGAGTTTGAGATCAGTCTGGGCCTCTTAGTGAGACTCTTTCAAAAACTATTACTGACCTCCAATTGCTCTGTGTGCAGAAAACAAAAGACTGTAGAGCCCCAGTTGGGACACTTACATTATCTCATTCTTGGGATCTTTGTGAGGGTGGGGCAGAAAGACCATACGTAAGAGCCACAGGTGGTGGATAATTTAAATGAGACTGTTTTCCAGACAGACGCAAACATAACTCACAGTGATTGTGACAGTATGCACAAGACTCACACAAACTCCAACCAGCCATTCCTGCATTGTGTGGATGAAGGTGAATACCTAATCCCAGTGCCAGCTGAGGAGCTATTAACATTTAGTGATTGCTGGGAAAGGGAGATTCAGGTCATCATTTACTGACGATGACCTTGATAATGTGATCACATACCAGAGCAGATCTCAATCCCAAAACTAGCTGAACAACACAAAATAGACCTGATGGGGAAAGAAGGTCAAAAGGGGGGCGGGGGCGGGGCAATTTCAAAGTTGGGTTGAAAGCAATAAGAGGGTCGAGGCAATAGTAAGGGGATTGGGTCCTGAATATATTCAAAATACATTGTATGCAATTGTCAAAGAATTATAAAATGTAATCATCATAGATTAAGTCACCTGATATAATTGACAGCATCAGAAATGAGGTCAGCAAGATAGCTCAGCAGGCACTTGGCATGCAAGCCTGGCAACCTGAGTTTCATCCCTTGAACTCTTACAAAGGTAGAAGGAGAGAACCAAATGTGCAAGTTGTCCTCTGACCTCCACATGTACACTGTGACAATACACACATCACACATGCACAATAAATTTTTAATGTCAGAAAGCCCTGGAAATAGCTTTTCTTTCCATTATCAGCAGTAACAGTTTATAAAGTAGCCCACCTACATCTAAAGTAGCATAACACACCAAGAAAGAAATACTGTGTGTTTATTTATTTGTGAGTAAGCTTAAGGGTAGGCCCTCTGTTGTCTCCAGAGATTTCTGTATTCAGAAAAGGAATTCTGCTGGGCTGTGGTGGCACACATCTCTAATCCCTACACCCAGGAGGCAGAGGCAAACAAATCTCTGTGAGTTCAAGGCCAGCATGGTCTACAAAGGGAATTCCAGGACAGCCAGGGCTGTTACACAGAGTAACGCTATCAAAAAAAAAAAAAAAAAAAAGGAATTCTTTATGTTGATTTCTTTGCTTTTGCTTTTGTTCCTGCTAGAAAAACATTACATTCTCTAAACAGTGCTAACTGAGGTCTACCACTGTGGCTAAACTTGAATCTGAACTGGTCTCTGTTAACCACAGAGGCAACATAGTTATTGGTGCTGGTGTCTCAGTACTGATGAAAAGCCAATATTTGCTTCTCTTTTTCAGATGACGGACGTAAGAAAGCTCGAAATGCTTATCTCAACAATTCCAACTATGAAGAAGGAGATGAGTATTTTGATAAAAATCTGGCACTCTTTGAGGTAATATTTTAATTATGTATGTGTCAGTGGGGGAGTAGAAGAGGGCTCATATTTTCCCTCATAACTCCCTGGGGATGGAGTTACAGGTGGTTGTGAGCCTCCCCATGTGGGTACTGGGAACTGAACTTGGTTGGGCCTCTGGGAAAGCAGCAAGTACTCTTACCTACTGAGCCATCTTTACAGCCCACACAGTGAAATTCTCATCACTCTTGGGAAATACAAAGTCATCTCCCATTTGCAGGAAAATGTTTGGAATGAAAATTACTGTTATGCAAATTAAGACAAATACTGAATAGTGCATTTTTCCGTGTGTGTGTGTGTGTGTGTGTGTGTGTGTGTGTGTGTGTGTAAAGAGAGAGAGGATAAGGCCAACTGTGAGAATGAAGGAGAGATGTTAAGGGGGCAGATAAGTGAAGACAGAGGATAATAGATTGCCCGTAACATGAAAGCAAAGAAGACAAATGAGGGCAGAAGGAACCTTGAGGACAGAAGTTTCTGTCCCACCCAGTCCCCTAGCCATTTAGTCCCAAATAAACACACAGAGGCTTATATTAATTATAAACTATTTGGTTGATGGCTCAGGTTTCTTATTGGCTAGCTCTCTCTTAATTATTAACCTATTAATCTATGTATCTCTTCATGATCTTGGCTTACCAGAGAATGTCTAGGTGTCCTACCTTCCCTGTAGCTACATGGTGTCTCTCTGATGATGCCCTCTAATTAGGAGAATTAGAATTCTCCTAATCTGCCTATTCTTCCTGCCTGGCTACATACTGCCTGTCCATTAACCAAAACAGCTTTATTCATCAACCAATAAGAGAAACATATTCACAGCATTCAGAAGGGCATCCCCCATCAGGACCTGGCCTGTAAGGGAGTCGGAAGGAGGGGAACAGGTTAAAACAAAAGTATAATTACCATTTGTATGAAAAAAAAGAAACTTAATGAAACCTAGTATCCTACCTTAACTTGTTGCCATGTTTAAGTGTAGTGATTTTACCTTGCACATGTAGGCAGCCACTCCCACCGAGCTGTACGCTCAGTTCTGTGTAGTCTTTCTAATATCAGGAACAAGTTGTCTCACTGAAGAAACATTTTCTTAAAATGTTTACCTGTGAAGTATTTTATCATTTATTTTCCGTTTCCTGGTGCAAAGTTTATTTAATTGCTGAATTTCAGTATCCTTCATAAATTATTTCTGACTTTATAGGAAGAAATGGACACCAGACCAAAGGTGTCGTCTCTCCTCAACCGCATGGCCAACTATACTAACCTGACACAGGGAGCAAAGGAACATGAAGAGGCAGAGAACATCACTGAGGGAAAAAAGAAACCTACCAAGGTGAGGCCTCAGAATACAGGACAAATAAAAACAGACCCACATATAAGAGATGAAGACATGCACTGGGCATTAGTCCGTGTTAACTGTAATAAACTTGATATACCCAGTACGATTCTGAGCATTGGCAGCATGGCCCATACAGAATATACACTACCCTAGCTTCATGTGGGAAGCCAGTCCCTAAGCTGTTGAAACTCTTGTTAAAGCATATAGCATCTTCAGTGTAAGTAAGGCTTGACCAAGAACTTATACAGTTAAAAGGAATGAGACTGGCAAGAGTCTGCTGGAAGGGTTTGATGCTCTGGTAGGTCAGACAGAGAAAGTCCTCTGATGTTTCTGATATGACAGAAACTGTCCAAGTGAGGAAGTTAGCCATGTCAGTGGGAGATGGTTAGCACATCAGTGGGCAGGAAGATCTCAACCCAGTCTCCGATGCCATCTGCCTGGTAGAAAGGGGTTGTTTGTTTTGGGTTTTGTTTTGTTTTTGAGATGGTGTCTCAGATATAGCATAGGCTAGCCTTGGACTTTGAGTCCTCCTGCCTCAGCCTCCCAGGTGCTAGAATCATAGGCATCCACCATGATAATGATACCCCGTAGCTGTTAGAAATTTTTTGTTTGTTTGTTTGTTGTTTTGGGGGAGTTGTTTTTTTTTTCTGCTACTGTTCTTACAATAAAAGTATATCAATCACATAGTTAGTTCAGCCTTTTGCAAAGGTGACTAAATGGCCTTAAAGTTTTTACTTTCCCCATCTGCTTCATTTACCAACTATTGTGAAGAATTTGTACCTAATTCTCAAGAATTTCCACAAGTTGTTCTGTTTTTAAATGAGAATAAAAATTTATCAATCTTGAAGAACAGACATTTTGAGATTGTTGAGTGGTCCATTGCTTGGGAATAGTGAAAATGTGGGAACTCACCTAAATTACAAATGTGTAATGATAATGGAAATACAGTGATGAACTTTACTAAGAGACCTTTGAAGGTATTGCTTAAACTTCGTGTGTGTTCTTTGAGATTAATGTGGTAAATCTGAGCATCTTTTATGGCTAACTATATTTCCTTCTGTCTTACATTTTTATTTCCAGAGCCCTCAAATGGGTACTTTCATGGGTGTCTACCTCCCATGTCTACAAAATATTTTTGGAGTGATCCTCTTTCTGCGTCTTACCTGGGTGGTGGGTACCGCTGGAGTTCTCCAGGCCTTTGCGATTGTGCTTATCTGCTGCTGCTGTGTAAGTCCTCCTACAATGGCTCCTAGAGCTCACCTGGGGTGTCTCACTGCCCAGAGTATATGCACATGGCTTCCTGGGGAGCAAGAACAGAAAATACATAGAGACTCATGATCCCAACAGGACAGAGAATTTTGATCTTAAAAATCTAAAGGATTTTCATTCAGCACCCATTATCCATTATTTCCTATGTAGTATATGGTGTCCTAGATTTTTGGAAATAAACAAAATGAGGGTCTTCAAATAATTCAAAAGTATGGATAATTTGGCTTGAAAACACTGATGTTGTAATAGAAGAACATTAGAAAATGTATGCCCTATTCTCAAATGTACTGGAAAATAAAATTGACAGCACCTGGGGAGGTGAGGGGACTCTGGATTTTGTTTGGTTCACTTTAAAGTCTCCTTTCTTTTGTAGTCCCCAGAAATTCCTCAGTTGTTTTCAGCTCTTCTCTCACTTTCTCAACACATTCTCATCATCCTTTAATTTAAATTGCTCATTTTTATATATCCCATCCCTGTCCATGAGTTTACTGTCCCTTGTTTTGCTAAACATGGTATCCTCTGTATGCATCATGCTCAGCTGAGTACTAACCACACAGGTTAAGCAGACCTAACCTATGTTGTTAATAACTTAATGGCACTGCCTTCCCCACTCCCAGTATCTCAAGCTTGAAGGTTCAAGGCTGTATTTGACTCCTTGGTTGCCATTTACCACAGCCAATCTGTTCTGAGATACTTCATATGTAACCTTTCCTCCCTACGCTGTAGATTTTACCTCTCATTTGTACCACAGCAGCCTACTAGCTAGTCACTATGCCTCCATGAAGACCTTTATGTACTGTGTTACTAGGTAATGTTTTACATTTGTTCTGGTAGTTCTCTTTCTTATCTGTATTATTTGAGTCCAGCCTTCTTTCCAGTGTTGTCTCCCTAGCTGTTCCTTTTGGATGTTTCACAGCAACTCTTTATAAAAGTAGGTAGAGTTAAATGTTTGTAAATGCTCCAAAGTCCACACATGGGAAAGTACAGAAATGTCAGCTCTACCCAGTAATAAAATTCTTCTTTCTCTCTACAGACAATGTTGACTGCCATCTCCATGAGTGCCATTGCCACTAACGGAGTGGTGCCAGGTCAGTAACCCAAGTGTGAGTTTCAGGGATTATCAGTGATTAATCACTGTAATGCAGGAGGTATAAAGTCCAAAGAAACTCAGTGTGTTTATTCTGTTGTTCACAATGTACTGTAACAGTGTCATCTTCTAGAAGCCATAGAAACAAATTCTGTTTGACTTCAGGATGCTATCTTTGAAATCTCATTATTTTTAGACTACAATGCTTTAATTTCAGCCACATTCTTAGCTTATAAAACATATTTTATTAGACTACCATATTTCTGTAGGAAATACTCTAATTTTTCCTAATAGTGACAAAACGTAGAGTATTGGGTACATCATATTCCCATTAGCATATCCACTTTGTTACATTCAGAGTTTCCCAAATATCTTTTGCACATATTTTTTAATTACTACTTATGACTTGTTTACAATCATCTTAGTGATCCCCTCATTTTATTCTGTTCGCATCTGTTTTGTCTTGTAGCTGGGGGCTCATACTTCATGATTTCCCGGGCCCTGGGCCCAGAGTTTGGTGGGGCTGTTGGCCTCTGCTTTTATCTTGGCACCACATTTGCAGCAGCCATGTATATCCTTGGTGCCATTGAAATTTTTCTGGTAAGTGATGAATTAATTACGATCTATAATCTAGAAGCTCTGTAGGTTTGATCCTTAGATATTAGTTCCTGAGATGAGGTGCGGCAGCCAGTCAGGTGATGACTGCTATGACTGTGCTCTTACCATGACTCTGAGGCAGGAAGGCTGAAGTGTCCTTCACCTGCCTTTCCTTTCCCTGCTGTCTGATTGTTCGCAACTCTATCACCTCGACCAGGGAGTTCATATCTAGGTAGAAAAGACCTATGTCAACGTAGGAAAGTAAAACAAAGCTCGTTTGTTTATATCATACATGTATGTGTTTTGGTGTGCTGAATCCATGTGTGTAGAGGCCAGAGAGCAAGCTGGTTCCTCACCTGCTGTTCTTCGGGAGACATCCAGTTTGTTTCATGAGACGGAGTCTTTTGTGGGACGGGGTTCACCACCTCCATCTGGCTGGCCAGTCAGCCCTGGGTATCCTCATGTCTTCACCTTCCCAATGCTAAGATCACAAGCATATACCAATGTGCCTGGCTTTTTACATAAGTCCTGGGGATCCAACTCAAGTACTAATTCTTGTACAGCAAAGCATGTCACTGGCTGAGCTGTATCCCAACCTCTCTTTTTGATAACTTTATCCCAGTGAAAAGGTTTTCATTCTCTACTCATAAATATTTTCTATAATCTTTTAAATAAAATCAATTTTTGTCCTATTTGGGAATGTAGATATTCACAGTAGTAATTAGAAAACAAAAATAATCCATGAAATAACATTTCTATAGACATTCTAGAGCCAAATAAAAATGTGGTTAATTTCCAGCCTTGTGTGGTACATAACTTTAATCTCAGTACTTGGGAGAGAGAGGCAGGTGGATTTCTTTGAGTTCCAGGCCAACTAGGGCTACATAATGACCCTTTCTTTAAAAAAAAAAAAAAAAAAAAAAAAAAAAAAAAAAAAAGAAGAAAGGATAAAAATTGTTTTCATCACTTTTTGTTTCAGCTTTGTTTTCCTTCATAATAAAAGCAACATAAACTGTTAAAGTTTCTCTACTTGGTTGTTTCTCATGACATCGCTTCTTCTCTGCTCCTTTCTTTTTTCTAACAGGTGTATATTGTCCCTCGAGCTGCCATCTTTCGCAGTGACGATGCACTCAAGGAATCAGCAGCCATGCTAAATAACATGCGTGTCTATGGCACAGCCTTCTTGGTCCTCATGGTCTTAGTGGTATTCATCGGCGTACGCTATGTGAACAAGTTTGCCTCACTTTTCCTGGCCTGTGTAATTGTGTCTATTTTGGCTATCTACGCTGGTGCCATCAAGTCTTCCTTTGCTCCACCACATTTCCCGTATGTGCCTATGTTTTCACCTAGTCATCATTGGGTAGTCAGTGACAGTATCTGGTGATGTGAATTTCATGAATTTCATGGAGTGATTTCCCTATTGGCCCAGTGTCCCAGCATGACACTTCCTGACAAACTGTCCTGTTAACCCCTTCCTCACTTCTGAAGTGTAGACCTAGCAGCTGTAGCCATCATTAAGATGTAGCTATTTAGGTTCTCCCCCCCCCCCCACCCTCATAGTGATTGTGTTTATGTGAGCCATCTATGAAGGACTTTACAGTCATAGTCATTATGAGCAGCTACATTTATATGGCATTTAAATGTTCAATTGCCTTTTAAAATAAAAACCAATTCAAAAGAATTCTAGAGTATCGGTCTAGAGAGAGAACTCTATGGCTATGAGCACTGGATGATCTTCCAGAGGAGCTGGCTTCAATTTCTAGTATATACATGGAGGCTCACACCTCTAGTTCCAGGGGATCTGGTGCATTCTTCAGGCCTCTATAGGCTTCAGGCACACAACTGGTGCACAGACACACATGTAGACAATATTAAATAAGTCTTTTTAAAACACCCACATATTAAACACGTCTTTTAAAAAAAAGAATTACCTAATTTGTTTAATTACTTTCTTTATTCTTGCTTGGTACCATAACTGCTAAAAGTTACTAGGTATAAAATAAAGGGAAATGAATGTCATATCACATATATATATCTCTGTGTAGAGGACATTACAGGCCATAAGCTGTGCAGTAGTGAATTGATGGATTTGTGCAGAGCCTTCACTCACACAGTGACCTACTTTCCCTTTGACTTGTGACACCAAGGCTGGTTGGCACTCAATTATTTCTAATCTTGTTACAGAAGTTGGTTTTGAAGTCATATGGATCAGCTGGGGATCAAATTTATTGGTCCTATGAGTTTTTTTCACAAAAAACAAAAAACAAAACAACAACAATTTTCCCAAAGTCAACTAATGGTAGAGCAAGAACATTAGCTTTGTGATTTCCTGACTGCTATTTGGTAATGCTTCTATGTGATGTCAATAAGAGATTCCATCGTAAGCTTTCATTTTACTTACTTGGCCATAAAATAATTAAAGATCCTTTTCCTTTTCAGTGTCATAAAAGTTTTAGCTGCAACATTTTAGCTGTATCTCAACTGGGGAAATTCCATTTTGCTTCAGGTTTCCCTTTGGGGCTTCTCCACTTCTGTTTGGTTGGGGAAAAAAAATCACAACACATGATATTTTGTTTTTAAAACTTCCAGCATAATATGTTAATAAAAAAAACAAAACTGTAGGGGAACCGTGAAACAAAACTAGGGATTGTTAAGAGTTGTTGAAGCATGTAATAGATATGTGGTTCATTATGTATGTATGAACACACTGCAGATTCTAAACCTTGTTTTGTTTGCCCTCAGAAGTATTTTACTGTGGGTCTATTACTCTATCCTTGTTTGTGTCTCCGGGTAGAAGAAAAAATACTCTGCAGTTAATGTTTGTATTATCCTTAAATTTCCTCTGGGCTTAAAGTCAGAAACAGTTTTGTCTTGGGCCATAGAGGGATGTGCCTTTTCAGTCTAGTCAAGCTCAGTAGGACAGGCAGTTCCAAAGCTCTTAGGAATGTAAAGCCTCTTCTCCTTTCACTTCTGACTTTCTCTCGTTCCCTCCATCTCCCCCTCTTTCTTCCTCTGCCTTGAAAGAAAACAAACAAATGAAAATATGAGCATTGGGGCATTTTTTATAAAACTAAAAGCAGAGGTACTCTGGAATTTGATGATGGTGGCGGTGGCAGGGTGTTCTCATGTTTGCTTGTGGAGACCAGAATGTATCAGGCTTCCTGCTCTGTTGCTCTCTGTCTCATTCCCTGAGTCTCCAGAGCTAAACTTGAAGCTCACCATTTTTTGCATTGTTCAGCTATGATAGTGGGCCAACAAACCCAGCCTTTCTGCCTGTCCTCCTCACCTGCCCCTATTCCCAGTGCTGAGATGACAGGCATGTATGGCCATGCCAGGCTTTTTGTGTGTGTGCTAGAGATCTGAACTCAGGACCTCATGCTTCTATGGCAAGCACTTGAACACCATTGAGCCATCACCCTAGCCCCTGTAGGATTCTTTCTAGCCTAAAAATGGATGAATAGCCAAATATGTTTGGAAGATAATTCAGTATAGTTTCTTTGTACAGTCCTTATGTTTGAATATCACCTATATCTATCATTTGTATGACCTTGATCTTGGGCAGACTATTGAATCTCTCTGTAAACCTCAGTGCCTCCAGCCACATAAGATAAATGTTAAAATATTGTGAGATCTGTGAGGATTATACTGGCAGAAAATGCAAGTCACCATGATTCACAGTGCTGGTCAGTATTGCTTGTCCTTTCCTACCCATAGCAGTAGAATCTCTGAGAAATGGGATCGTTTTTCTCCTTTACTAACCTGCTTTTCCTCTTTAAGACTTGGTTTTCTCTGTTCTTTTTTTCCCTTCCTGATCTTCTGTTCTCTGTTTGCTTTGCTTTAGGGTCTGCATGCTGGGCAACCGCACCCTTTCATCAAGACACCTTGATGTTTGCTCTAAGACTAAGGACATTAACAACATGACAATGCCATCAAAGTTATGGGGATTCTTCTGTAACTCAAGTCAGTTTTTTAATGCCACCTGTGATGAGTACTTTGTTCACAATAATGTCACCTCAATCCAAGGCATTCCTGGGCTGGCTAGTGGTATCATTACTGGTAAGTTAGTTTAATTAGACTCCTTTGGTTTTGTGTTGTTTTTTCTTTAAGGACAGTGGGGGAATAGGCTTTCCCCTCTTGGATTCTTTCTTTCTTTCTTTTCTTTTCTTTCTTTCTTTTTTTTTTTTTTTGTCTCTTTTTTTGCATTTTCCTATAATATATTATGTGTGACTATGTTCATTTTCATACTTTATATATGCATATTATATGTTTTGATCATATCAACACATACCCCCTACTCTCACTTGTTTAGAATTGCTTATAGGTTCATGAGCGATGTGTTGTTTATAGCAGTATGGTCCCCTTACAATGGCTACAGGACTAAAGAAAAATGTCTCTCCCACATCAACCATCAGCTGGGTGTAAAGCCTGAGGGATGGGTGGGGTCTTGTGGGTGCCCCATTCCTAATAGGACAGGATATTGATAGAGCCTTCCTTATGAAGATCTTGTGCAGGTAATCAGAGCTGCTGTGAGTTCAAGCATGCAAGGGCCACATCACAAGTCAACATTCTGTATCATTCCCTGTCTTCCTCTGGATTTTCTGTTCTTCCAGTCCCCTTTCCCACAGTGTTCCCTAAGCCTTGAAGGGGGTAACATAGATATTTTTATGACTAAACATTAAGCAGTTATTCTTATCACTTTGACCAGTCGTTAATGAACCTCCACAGTTACCACTGCCTATGGTAAAAAAGAAATTTCCCTGACCACGGCTGACAATATCACTCATATATAAGAATATACATAGTTTTTTAGAAGGCAATTTGACAACCACAGCATGTCCATTTAGGAAACACAGGCAATAGCTTCTCCACTAGTATCAATGACCTAGACCTAAATGGCGATGACTGTGATTGCAGTGGTAAAGGTTGAAGCCAGTTGTGTCTGACAAGCACCATGTTCTCTACTACTGAACTGGACCCAGCCTGCTGTCTAAAACTCTTCTGTTGGACATGGCCTGGATCCCTGTGTATTCATGGATGATCTTAAACTCATTCCCTATGCCACAGCCTCCTGAGTACTGGGAGGATTATAGGCACACACCACCATAGTCAGCATATTTCTGCTTTTCTTTCAGTGAAATTATCTGTGTTTAGAGCTCCCTTCCAGAGTACATCTCTTAAATTTGCCTTCTTCTGAGGACAGAGGCAGACTTTTTAGCCTAGGGTAAGATAAAATACTTTTATTTTAGGGTAAGATAAAATACTTTTATTTTGCAATGTTCTTGATGCTAACAGCCAACTCCTAGGTTTACAGCAACTCCCTCTGCTTCAAGCTCCTGACAAGCTCCTGACAACTATGGGGATTTGCCTTCTTATCGGACTCAATGTATTCTTGAAAAATTCCCAGTCGTCTTCCTGCAGTGATAGCTAAAATAGAACTGTTTTAATGTCACAAGTTTTTCCTAGCTCAGCTAAATTTCTGAAATTCTTTTCTTAAATGACGTCCATCTTAAATGTTTTGTTCACAAATTTCTTTGCCCATTAAGCAAGTTCATACTAAGAGGTTAAAAACTGCTTTGATACTAATTGTTTTAAAAATAGACTTTATACTTGGTAACTAATTTAAAAATAGGCTTTATGGGGCATTTAATTTAGTCTACTTTTACTAATTTGTATTAGAAGAGTTAACTACATTTATTATGCCAAAGCATTTTATAAAATTGAACAAATGAGAAATAACATTGGTTATATTTTTACAACATATGTTCATGTTGAAGAAACAATGGCTTTGAAAACTATCCCAAGGGACCGAGGCAGAGGTAGGTACAGTACTTGCCTAGCATGTAAAAGTCTCTTGGGTAAGTCTCCAGTATAGTAATTGTAATAAGTACTGTGGGGGTCTCTGATTGAATGTTGTTTGGGTAAGAAATCATGTACTTACATTGCTTCCATATTGCTTATTTCCTTGTATCCTCTTTCTTCCTACCCACCCAACTCCTCACCCCTTTGCAGAAAACCTTTGGAGTAATTATTTACCAAAGGGTGAGATCATTGAAAAGCCATCAGCCAGGTCATCCGATGTCTTGGGCAGCTTAAACCATGAATATGTCCTTGCTGACATCACCACCTCCTTCACTCTTCTGGTGGGGATCTTCTTTCCTTCTGTCACAGGTAAGGGGGTGACTGTTGGGTTTCAGAAGCCATCAGCCACACTGAGCACATTTTTTTCTTAGGGTATAGACTTACATCCTCAGGGTTCTAAGTTTGTCCCCATCTTCTGTCTCAGTATGAGCATCAAAGTGCCCAGAGAGCCAAGTTAACTTGGTGTTTCCCCTCACTAGGTATCATGGCTGGGTCAAACAGATCTGGAGATCTGAAAGATGCTCAGAAGTCCATTCCCATTGGAACTGTCCTTGCCATCCTGACCACATCCTTCGTGTGTATCCTTTGAGTTATGGTGATGGAATCATGCAGTAGAACTAAGAGGATCAGTACTTTTATCTAATAATAATAATGTCATCTCTTATCACTGCCTCACTTGCTAGATAGTTGTCTTGTTTCATAAGCATCATTAAAGAAGGATTTTATAAGATTAATGAATTTAGCAACTCACTATATAATAAAAGAATCACCCTGAGTGTAGTTACTGTATAAAGGTAAAGGATAACAGTCTCCTTGACTCTCAGCATAACAGATTTAAGCAATGTTGTCCTTTTTGGTGCATGTATTGAAGGAGTTGTTCTCAGAGACAAGTAAGTATAACAACCATGTCTGTCTTCCTTGAAATCTGGTCACTCAGCATAGTATCACACAGATATAATCTCAAACCGGGCCAAGGTGTCAGTCATAACTAATAAAATAGAAAGTTATGTATTGAGCTAAAATGTATGTGTATGTATATATACATATACACACGTGGACATTTGTATCTCATATATAATGAATGAAAGACAGGAAAGTATGTGTGTGTGTGTGCATCAAACATACAGAGAAATATAGAACACTGAGCTTCTAGATTTGATCCAAGCAATAAAAAAGTTTTAAAAACAAGATTAAAATATATGTGCATAATTCAGCCTATGATAAGATAAAATATTTTGTGATTATTTTTTCTTTTGCAATGTTCCTCAAGCTAACATCAGAGTTATAGGATTAAGTAGTCCTCCTTCCTCAAGCAGTAAATGATTATTAAATAATAAGGAGAAATGCTATTATATAAGACATAACTAGTGTTATGTCTAAGCTGTGAAGTTGTCTAAATACTAAGTACTCTTCCTGTACACCAAGCACTGCTGGAATGCTGTAGGAAAGTAGAGCAGGACAAGCGGAACTGCGTAGTGTCTCTGGCATCCGCTCTAGAGAGCAGCAGCTGTCCACTCACACGTGCCATTCTAAATGGAAGTGGGACACTGATTTCCTTCATGAAGACTACTTAGCATTTACTGCTTCTTTTGTCAGATATGCTTTGTGAGATGTTTGTGACAGATCTCTCCCAGAAACTAGTTAATACCCTCACTTCACTCCCTGTCACAAAGGAATCTGGGTATTGTCCTAGCCTAGGTGTTTTCCTCATTTTCACCCATCACCCAAGTCTTTTCTCTGTCTACTTTCCACTGTTCAGTGGTCACATTGATCCATACTGGGCTTCAACGTTTTTCTCTTTATAATCACATAATAATGTCCTTTTGAGTTTTACCACCTTCTTCCATACCACCACCACAATGCTCTTTCTGTACACCTTTGTCTATGTTGTTTCCTTTGCTTCTGTTGGTTATTCCTACTAGGAAGACTCACTTCATTCTTCTTAAGACTAAGCCAAAAATCTTCACTCCTGTAGTTTTTCATCTTCACCCCCAAAATAGAATCCCTCCTCCTTTCATCTCCCCACTATATTTGAACATACTGTGGTGTTGCACTTACCACACTGTATTGTAGCTACTTATTTTCATATTACATTCCCTTGGTTGAGCTCTAGGATTCCTGATAGACAGGGATTCTAGCACAAGCTTTTATAAATGTTGTTGAAGAATATAGGTACAAAATGTGTGTAGGTTTGTATGTATAAGGCATAGTGTCTCAGCTGTACTATTTTATTGGAAGGGAACAGTGGTAAATTTATACATATATAGAACTTATTCATTTCTAGTTTGAACAATTACCGGTCACTATTTCCTAACATTGCACATGTCTATACCTGTGTCTTAGCAGTTTCACTTCTGGCTATGTTCAGCAGAAATGTTTGTGCCCAACCCAGTAATTTCTTTTTAGACAGGGTCTTGCTATGCATCCTGAGCTGGTCTTGAACTCAAAATATAGCCTTGTCTAGCCCATATTCATAATCCTCCTGCCCCAGCTTCCTGAGGGCTGAGGTTACAGGTATGTGCCATAATGCCTGCTGTGAGTGCCCTTTTATGAAAGCTATGTACCTTTATATGTTTTAGTATTCATGTTTACTTCAGTTTGCATCTGTAAAATTTATAAGCCAGAAGAATTCACTAGTGATTGTCACCCTAATTTTTCACTGTTTCTTTCCCAGATTTGGGGATGCTGTGAAAGGTAATTTGGTTGTAGGCACCTTATCTTGGCCATCCCCTTGGGTGATTGTTATTGGCTCCTTCTTTTCAACATGTGGAGCTGGACTTCAGAGCCTCACAGGTGCACCTAGGCTGCTACAGGCTATTGCTAAGGATAACATCATACCATTCCTTAGGGTGAGTGACACTTTGTTGTGCCCTCTTCTCTTTTCCCAAGTTTCATGAAAAAAAAAATGTTTTCTCTTTCAGCTTAAGAATTGGGACATGAATGTAGAGTTTTAGTGTAAGGCCCTCCAAATCCTTTGTATGTGTTTATATGTGATTTCTGTGAAGTTGTTCTTATTTATCAGATATCTGAAACTGGCACACTGGGTCAGTACCCGTGTGCCTGACATTTCCTCTCGTGTGCACAGGTTTTTGGTCACAGCAAAGCCAATGGGGAACCTACCTGGGCCTTACTTCTAACTGCTGCCATAGCGGAGCTGGGAATTCTCATCGCCTCCTTGGATCTCGTGGCCCCAATTCTTTCCATGTAAGATTTGCTTACTCTCTTCAAGTATGGATGCTAATGATTATAGCATTATTTTCATCGTCATATAAAAGTAGTGATGATGACAGAATTGACTAAACTCAGACTTGACTAACCTTTAAAACTTATTCCTGAGATGGGGCTGGAGAGATGTCTGAATGGGTAACACTATGTCCTGGGTCTTCCAGAGGACTTAAGCTCAGTTCCTAGCATCCATGTCAGATCGTTTACAGCCACCTATTAGGCTAGCTCTGGGGAGACTTACACTTCTGATCTCATATGAACACACACACACACACACACTCCTTAAAATACTCCTTGGGAGGTGGTGTCACATGCCTTTAACCCCAGCTCTCAGGTGGCAGAGGTAGGCAGATCTCAATGAGTTCCAGAACAGCCCTGAGGGGGGGGGAGAGGGGGAGAGAGAGAGGGAGAGGGGACGAAGGGGAGAAGGGACAGAGGAGAGAGGGGAGAAGAGAGAGAGAGAAAATACTCTGGAGAACTTCTATGTAAGGTTAACTTTTATAAATCACCGTGATTTTATGGAGGGGAGGTGTCCTACCTATATAAATTCTAAAGTTATTCATCTCCTTTTCTTCCTGTTTGTTCCTTTTTTTTTTTTTTTTTTTTTTTTGGTAATGCTGCCATTTGAACCCAGGGCCTTGTATGCAGCAGGCATGCTCTCTACGAAATACATCTGCCTATGAAGTACATCCTTCAGCCCCTGCCTTTATTTTACGAATCATTAGCCATTGACTTCACTGTTGGACTCTATTCATCCACCTGTGACTTACAGATGATTTGCTGTCTCCTGACACTGTAACTAGCTGAGAATATAAAGATGTATAAGGCACATGGTCTCGAGGAATAGTAGACAAAGAAACCAAGAATTTCCCCACATAGTTCAGTGAATGAAAAATGGTAAAGGCAAGCAGTGGGTGCCATGAAACAGGGATGATTCCTGTCGAAGTGACACTTGTATCTTGAAGGGCAACTAGATATTTTCGCAGCAAAAAAGAGTGTTTGTTAGTCTGCAGTTACAGGGACTCGGTGCCCTCTTCTGGCCTCTGCAGTCACTAAACACACAGTGTGTGGCATATACATGTCTTTAGGCAAAACACCCCCCACACATAAAAGTAAATAAATCTTTACTTAATGTGGTGGCAAACACCTTTTTCATTTCAGCACAGGAGGCAGAGGCAGACGGATCTTTGTGAATTTGAGGCCAGTCTGGTCTAAATAAAATGTGGTGTGGGGGGAGGGACTAGAAGAAGACAATATTGCTGGAAATGGGGGAAAAAAAGAAGTGATTCCTGAACTAGGGTGAAAAAAGAAAGACGTTTGGGGAGTTTGAAACAGGCAGAATCATAGAGCTTGATAGGTGAGTGTTGGGGGAGGATTACTAAGGAAGCAGAAACATGGATTAGTCCCTGAACATCTGGTAAAGAATGGTTGTGCCAGCCTGGAGAGATGGTTTAGTGGTGAAGAGCACTGACTGCTCTTCCAGAGGACCTGAGTTCAACTCCAAACACCTATATGGCTGCTCACAATTGTCTGTAATTCTAGTCCCAGGGAACTTGGTACCCTCTTCTGGCCTCCATATGCTGGGAGCACACATGGTGCATAGACACAGACACAGGAAAACACCCATACACTTTAGAAGTTAGTTTTTAAAAAGAAGAATGATTTTTGGGCATCAGCCAAAAGATAGAACTTATGAAGATGAACAGGGTTACAAGAAAAGGTTTTTGAGTTTCTTTACTTTCTGTTTGATAAATGGTTGGTAGTCTATAAATAGGGTTTAGTAGCACAGAGGCCTCCAATCATTTAAAGTAGCCGTCCCAGAATCATTTTATAGTAATCCCTCTTACTGTCCTCCTTCCTCAAGGTTTTTTCTCATGTGTTACCTCTTTGTGAACTTGGCATGTGCCTTGCAAACATTACTCCGAACCCCCAACTGGAGGCCCCGATTCCGCTACTATCACTGGTAAGTCTTGATCTTGTTCCTCATCTTTCTAGAAATCAAGTATATTCTGGTTCCAAATATAGTTTTTTAATTGGCAGCCATTCCATACTATTTTAACTAAGTTCAGTTGTCACTTGAATTTCTTCTTTCCTATTCTTTCATAACTGTATATATCACTTTATAATAACTTACAACATCCACAGAACCATAAAGTGCTTATTTACCAGCTGCCTCATTTTTAAGGTTCAAACCTTCTCTTTACATATCTACTTTCCTGTTCTCCTAGCTGAGCATTGGATTTCATCCCTCCTTACCTCCACTTTTGTGTTCTCATCAGTTTTCATTCTCACATTTACCAGAATTTCATTAAGTGATTAGGAGTGAGAGCTGTGAAGTTAGGTAACACAAGTCTTTCATTCACCTTGGTACTTTATAGCCCTGTAATCTGCATGAAAACATAATAACCTTATGAAATCTCATTTTACTAATTCATAACAGGAAGTAATGCAGTGCAGTGCTGGTACATAGTAAAGCTCTCAATGAAAAGCTGTAGTACTGTCCTAAAGGAGCCAGCCAAGGTTTTTAACCACTATACCATCTCTTTCCTGTGTTCATTTAATCATGTAGGTTTTTCTGTTCATGTGTGTGCCTGCTGCTATGCTCTTGTTTTCTAACTTTCCTTATTCCTCCTCTGGCTTCACTTACCAGTGTTTGACATTTATGTAGCAAAAATGTGTGCCTGGAACCGTTCTTAACCCCTCCCGTCCTCCTCCTAGCTTTAACATTAGTCAGAAGTTTTCAGTGAACATTTTTGTTGTCATATGTTAATCTCCAAATTATCAATTCTTCTGTTCATACTTTAACATTCACCATAGGGCTAGAGAGGTGAGTCTGTGCACAAAAGGGCTTCAGTAATACATTGTCTACATAATTTATTTGCTCAAGACAGTCACCCTCTACCAGTCCATCTTATGTGCTATAAAAAGCTCACATAGCTTCTCACCAGTGGACTAAGCATTTATGGGGAATTAAATGCCCATAAAAATGTTAGGAATACTAACATGAGAAAATTCAACATCACATTCTAGATTCATGACTGTGTTCAACCCCTGCTTTTCCAGATAAGTATTAATTGTCCTTGGGGCTGAAACACCGTAGCACCCCTCTTTATGTTTACTATTGTCTGGCAGCAGGAAGCACACTGTGTTACAGAAGGCACAGGGTTCACCCTGAGTGGGCTGGGTGTGAACGCTCAGTGGTAAATGGCCTGCCTGCAGGTGCAAGGCTAGAGCCACTGCCACAGCTTCTAAGGCATATGATTTTTTAAAAAATGATTATTTTCATTGTATTTAACATAAGTTCTGTCTGTTAGTGACTGGAAATTTAAATTTCCAGTCCTCACCTTAGTCCAGAAAGCATTTCCTAGAACTGGTGTCTTTTCCTTGCTGCTTAGAAAGATACTTCTTGATTTACATTTTTGTTTATCATTTTCTAGGGCCCTCTCTTTCATGGGAATGAGTATCTGTCTAGCTCTGATGTTCATTTCTTCCTGGTATTATGCCATTGTAGCTATGGTAATAGCTGGCATGATCTACAAGTACATTGAGTACCAAGGGTAAGTATGAACTTTACCTTGATCACTGCTGAAAAGCTCAAGAATGGCTGGTTTGGCCACGCATGGTGGCACACACTTGTAGTCACGGTACTCAGGAAGCTGAGGCAGGAAGATTGAAAACAAGTTCTCTCTCTGTCTCTCTCTCTCTCTCTCTCTCTCTCTCTCACACACACACACACACACACACACACACACACACACACACACACACACGCACACAAAGTCATTCAGGGATGGAGAGATGATGACTCAGCAATTAAGAGAGTTTGGTGACAAGAACCCATGAGGCAGCTCACACCTACCTGCAACTCCATTCTCAGAGGAGCCAACACCTATTTTGGCCTCTAGAGACACCTGAACATGCATGAGCATATCTACACAAAGATGCATATACATAAATAAACTTTTAAAAGTATGACACAAATGTAAACATTTTTGCTAAACTTTTCAAGCAAGGGATTGCTATTAATCCTGAATAAAGTCAAAACAACTAAAACCTCAAACAACTTCCAAAAATGGAAATAAATTATATTCTATCTCAGAAGATTTCCTTAGACTTTTTCATTATTTTCAAAATCACAATTACAAGTAATTTCTTAATCTGAATTGACATTCCACATAGTTGCTTTTGAATAGATACACGATGGGTAGGGGATTAAGTGAGTAACCCTGCCAGCCTGTGTTGTGGGTGGTCAGTCTCACCTGCTAGTAAGGGACAGTAGATAAACCACACCCATGAGTTTCAGTCTTCTACCTTGCACATATTTTACTGTTAGATTCATTAAAACCTGGCTTTTGTGGTTTTACTTGTATTCATTGTAGTAGAAGCTGACTGTGCCTCTTTTCTCCTTTTCTCCCAGGGCTGAGAAAGAATGGGGCGATGGTATCCGTGGGCTGTCCCTCAGTGCGGCTCGCTTCGCTTTGCTCCGCCTAGAGGAAGGGCCTCCTCACACTAAAAACTGGAGGTAAAGCAGTTGGCAGAGCTTAGTGGTGTTTGCACATAGCTCACACACACAGTGTGCTTTCTTCATCACCAGATAAAGAAATTATGTGGCTCAGGGAACTGGCTCAAGTCAAAACTTGATAGTTTTGAACTATCCCAAAACCTTGCTGCCTTACTTATTGTTACCTATTTATTGTTGGTTGTTATTCTTTGAAGACTAGTCAACTTCAGACAATACTGAGAACATTTGAAATAACAAAGAACCCTCATTTACCATCCCTCTGGTTCCATCCTTCTATCAAGTTAAATGCTTTGTGAAGACCTCCTGGGGTAAAGGATGGAGTTGCCATCTGTTTCCCACACCTAAGTGTCTGCTCCTTCGCCTCTGCACAGGCCGCAGTTGCTTGTACTGCTGAAGCTGGATGAAGACTTACACGTCAAGCACCCTCGCCTCCTCACCTTTGCCTCCCAGCTCAAGGCAGGAAAAGGACTCACTATTGTGGGCTCTGTCATTGTGGGGAACTTCCTAGAGAACTATGGAGAAGCTCTGGCTGCAGAGCAGGTAAGGCTATGGTCTGCTGACTTACAGCTCAAGCATTGTGTGCTTTAGCAACCTATGAGAAGGCTGGCATTGCTCTCAGAAAGTGTGCTGGCTCTCTGCCCAAATGGTGAACCTTTCACATTAATGCACAGTAAAAGCTGGAATGTCCTTCTGTTTCTATATTTACTTAAATATATGTTTCTGAGCCTGGTGAGGTTCAGCACTTGGGATGTTGAGGTGGATAGATAGATCTCTGTGAGTTTAAGGCTAGCCTCATCTACACAGTGAGTGCCAGAACCCTGTCTCACAAAACAAAACAAAACAGCTTTTCTGTATGTACCTCAATAAGAGATTTCTGAGGAAATCACGAGGATGATAAAGCATTTGAATGGTATAATAGATGTAAAAAAAAATCAGTTTAAAAGAATGTATGTGCATAAGTGCTTATTGAATGACTTTGACCATAAGGTTTACCAACTTTATGTCACAAAGCTATAAGCTAAGTTCAAATAAGCAGGAAGCCCCCAGATTTTGAAGTTATTCCTTTCCCTGTGTGGCCTAGGCCTCTGACCCAGTGCTGGCATTTGAACAGTCATATTCCCCCAAACAGAAGGAGACAGAGTGGGTGCCCCTTCTTCTAATTTAAAGCATCACCCAAGAGATTACCAGTAAGCATCATTTCCAGTTAGACTGCAAATCGTGAATGTTTATGTTTGACCCCAGAGAAGGTTCCTAAGTCTGATGACAGTGGTGGCAAAGGCGACTTTTCTTTTTACCACCTTCTGTGTGGTATCAAGAAAACTGTTTTCTCCTTCTCACTAGCTTTGTTGAGCAAGTTCTTGTGCTTTGAGAAAGAAGCATTTTCCCCAATTATGTCAGTGATTGGACTAATCTCAGCTGGATTTCAGTGTTCATACTGGATTTCATTTGAAGTACTGTGTGAATAGCAAGTGGAGTTCAGAGAATCTTGAGTTTGATTCCCAGCACCCTTGTTAGGCCTCTGATAATCCACTTATAACTCTAACTCCAGGGAGTCAAACTCCTTCTGGTGTCTACCTGCATTCTTAATCATACATACATACATGCATGCATGCATGCATAAATACACACACACACACACACACACACACACACACTTTTTCTCTTTTGGTTTTTCTAGACAAGGTTTCTTTAGGTATCCCTGGCCATCCTGGAACTCACTCTGTGGACCAGGCTGACCTCAAACTCACAGAGATGTGCCTGGCTGCCTCCCAAGTGCTGGGAATAAAGGTGTAGGGTATGATCTCCTGGCCATAATTAATTTTTAAAATTAATCGTTTTTTTTAAACTAGAAATTCTGGGAAACAACCCAAATGACACAAATTAATTTTTTAAAAAAGCATATGGTTTCAAATTGAGAACCTTACCCTAAAAACCACTGACTTAATTTGTGTCTTTGAGAAAATCATGTCCATTTTGTACATCATTATTCCCATTCCTTTCCAACAAAGGAGTTAGGTAATAATAAATAGGCATATGGTGCCACCCTTAAGTTAGCTTGACTAAATGCAGGTTTCCTCAGTCACCATTCAAACGTTAGAATGAATATAAGAACAAGAGAAGGAGCCAGATGGTGGTGGTGCACACCTGTAATCCCAGCATTTGGAAGTCAGAGGCAGGTGGATTTCTTGGAGTTCCAGGACAGGCTTCAAAGCTACCCAGAGAAACCCTGTCTCACAAAACAAAAGCAAACAAAAAGAACAAGAGAAGAATAAAAAAGGGAAACCTTACCTGAGAAAATTCTGAAGTGTAACTTTAGGGATCATCAGATTAGTTTTCATGAACAATATCTCAGGGCATGCCTGGGGTTAACAAGAGTGTGGTGTTTACACCAGTGAATTTGCTTTGTCAGTCAAGAAACTGTACTCGGTATTTTGGACAGCCCTGCACTTAATGCTTCATCTGAAAAGGAAGCAAGCAGAATAGAGGAAAGGGAAGAGAAGCTCCATGTGGACAACCAGCTACAGATAGAAGTATAGTCAGTTAGCACTTCTAAAGTAAAAATGACCAAAACAAAGATAACACTTCAATAAAGCACATTTGACTTTCTGGACTTTTATATGGAGATACAGTCTTACATAGAAGTCAAAGAAAGATGGGAATACAGTAATGAGAAGGAATGATGAATTAAAAGGTCCAGGGTAAAGCAGTTGAAGTTTTGTATCTTTTTCAGACCATTAAGCACCTAATGGAGGCAGAAAAGGTAAAGGGATTCTGCCAGCTGGTGGTGGCTGCCAAGCTGAAAGAGGGCATTTCACACCTCATCCAGTCCTGTGGCCTTGGGGGCATGAAGCACAACACAGTGGTGATGGGCTGGCCCAACGGCTGGCGTCAGAGTGAAGATGCTCGCGCTTGGAAGACTTTCATTGGTACAAAATGTTTCCTGTACTGACCTGAGGGCCCAGAGGGGAATCAAATTGAATCTGTTATCCTAACTCTCCTAAAGGAGAGACTGTCATGTTGAAGCATGCTGTTAAAAGACCACCTAAAAACTCAACAATAATCTGTCAAGTCTCATCTGTTGTTGTTTTTGTTAGTCATTTCTCATTTTGATGTCCTCACAGGAAACTAGAAAGATGGTCTTTAATCAGATTCTCCCTAATTCATACTTTAAATATGTAGTATCCCTTGTTTGCTAAACCATGTTTTTCCATGGTTACTTGCTCTCTAGACTTTCCTTAGTGGCCTCAGCCTCTTAGTCAAGTGTAATGTATTATGTCAGTAGGACATATCTTCAACTAAGTGTCAATGAGAATTACCTTCTTTTCTTGCAATGGTGGGAAGCAAAGAAAGGCCAGCAATTCTCGTTTGCATATCCCAGTTCTTTCTTCTCTCCATAGGCACAGTTCGAGTGACAACTGCTGCCCATCTAGCCCTGCTGGTGGCTAAAAATGTCTCCTTCTTTCCCAGCAATGTGGAGCAATTTTCTGAGGGCAACATTGATGTGTGGTGGATTGTGCATGATGGGGGCATGCTCATGCTATTACCATTCCTACTGAAACAGCACAAGGTATTCTGGGCTGCTGTCTTTAAAAGCACTCCCTCTCACTGTCCTGTTCACTAGGTGGAGGAGGAGGATGATTAAACTGTGTATTGGTGGGACTTAAAATCTGAAGAGATGGGGCAAATTCTTGGCTGTCCTGTAATCCCAGCTTCAGCCTTATAAGTAGAGTGGGTTTAGGGCTTTTTTTTTTTTTTCATTTTCTTGTTGTATGTTATACCAATCCACCTTAAGTGAAATCCACCTTAAGTTCTGTATGAATGTTCAGGAAAAAACAAAAACAGGAATGTATCAGTTTCAGGGGTAAGTATGTATATGTTGTATAAATCATACCCTATATGCTCATTCTCTGATAAGTTTGTATGGTGTCATTGTTATACTGTCTGAATTGAGCTCTTTGAGTGTATCCTGAGTGAGGATATGTTTTACCTCACCATATGAAGCCAGCAGCTGTTCCTGCAGTAGGCAAATCAATTCTGACTTCATTATCCAAGGTAGGATTCTCTCCCTCAGATGGATAGTCAGTCTTACACACTGTCTTCCCACATCCTGAGGCTGCAGACTGCAAACCCTGTTTGTTCTACCCATGCCATTGGTGGTCAACTCAATCATCAGCCCCTCTGTCCTTCCAAGGATTTTACAATTTATATGCCAGGAGTCAGGGACAAAAACCAATTTCACAGTACTACATGAGCAAGTTTTTTCTCTTAATGGAATTAAGAAGTTAAAGCCAGGAATGGTGAAAAATGCTGGTAAATCCCACCACTCAGCAGGCCCTGTTGGGAGGATCAAAGTTCAAGGCCAGCCTGAGCTATTGTGTTAATTTAGATTGTATTTAAGTTGTTGCTTAGTCAGTCTTTTACACTACTACAAAACTGAACCAAGCAGGAAGCAAGGAACCAATACTTGATACTATAGCAAGGTCCTTCTAGTCACAAACCTCTTGTTTTAAAAAAATCACTTTTTCCCTCCTTACACCTAATTTTCCATGTACACACAACCCTCCATCAGGTATGGCGAAAATGCAGCATAAGGATCTTCACAGTGGCCCAACTCGAAGACAACAGCATCCAGATGAAGAAGGACCTGGCCACCTTCCTGTACCATCTGCGCATTGAGGCAGAAGTGGAAGTGGTGGAGATGGTAAGGAGGTGGAGTCCAACATAGACAAGAGCACCACTCCCCCAGCCCTGGCTCTCACTAGAATCTAGTCGGGGATGGTGCTCAGCTGTAAATGTGTGCTTTAACCCCTAAGCCTAGCATAACCCTAACTGACCTAAGTAAGTAGGGTGTGTAAATGCTTTCTTTTTCAAAACGATCTAAATTTTTATTACTGTGTGTGTGTGTGTGTGTGTGTGTGTGTGTGTAAGAGAGAGATAGAGACAGACTCAGAGGACAACTTATAGTCAGTTCTTCTATCATGTGTCTTTGCACCCAAATTCGGGGCATCAGAGTTGGCAGCAAATGCCTTTACACACTGAATCATCTTCCTGTCCCTGGGGTTGGTTGCTTTTTATTTGATTTGTTATTTGTTTATTACACAGCTCACATACATATGAGCTACATACTATATATGATATATATATATATATCTCAAATCCTTAGTTGCTTAATGTTTATTAATATTTAGTTCATGTTAAAAATCACACTCGTTTTGTTAGTTTTGTGTGGAAAATACAGACTGCAGGTTTTTTTTTTTAAAGGAAACAAATATGATTAAATCATAGAGAATACTCAGTGTCTCTGTATTTAATGGACATCCTCCAAACCAAGTGTCTTTATAACTCAAGACTGAACAAAATAGGAGTCAAAGGCTGATAAGGTGACAGTTTTTTTGAATCGGGTCAGTGTGTAAAAATAAAAATGTGTTTAACTCTGTTGTTTTTTTGTGTGCTGTCTGTGGCAGCATGACAGTGACATATCTGCCTATACATATGAGCGCACCCTGATGATGGAGCAGAGGTCCCAGATGCTCAGACACATGCGTCTATCCAAAACAGAACGCGACAGAGAGGTAAGAGCTTGCGGAACTGACCTGGCCTGTTCTGTGGGGACTGTCAATGATACAGACGACTAATCTTTGCTTCTCATTTTATCAGTTATTCCAGTATAACCTACTGTCCTTTCAAAACAGTTAAAGCATGAGGAAAAGAACAGGGAGAGTAACTGTTTGGCCTTCCCCAGGCACAGCTGGTGAAAGATCGAAACTCAATGCTGCGCTTAACTAGCATTGGTTCTGATGAGGATGAAGAGACAGAAACTTACCAGGAGAAGGTGCATATGACTTGGACCAAGGATAAATACATGGCATCCCGGGGGCAAAAGGTCAAGTCAATGGAAGGATTCCAGGACTTACTTAATATGCGTCCGTAAGTGTTTCCACTCCCAAGCTTATCCTGTAATAACAGTATCCTAGAGAGTGGTACATATGTGATTTTACCTGAATACAGTCACATAGGATGGGGTGTTTTCATCTTGACTAAATCAGCTATTTATTGTTTGCCTATAAAGATTAATTCCCAACTAAACATTGATACAAGCTATCCTTTTCTCCTGTACATTATTTCTGTATTATTTGTCTATTATTATAAAATAAGCAAACAGAATGAGAAAACCAGGCCAGTGAGGTAATAGCTTGTTGTCAAGCCTTAGGACTTGAATTTGATCACCAGGACTACTCTCCCAAAAGTTTTTGAACAGAAACCAACTTCAAAAAGCTGCCCTCTTATACATACATACGCAAATACAATGAAATTTTTAATGTTAATATAGCAAAGAAATTATCGCATTATTCATAGTCAAGTTAAACAGCTCTGGGCATAAAAAATACTTACAACTACCTTACTTCTTCCCTACTCAGGGACCACTCCAATGTGAGACGGATGCATACAGCAGTGAAACTCAATGAAGTCATAGTTAACAAGTCCCATGAAGCAAAACTGGTTTTGCTGAATATGCCAGGGCCACCCCGAAACCCTGAAGGTGATGAAAACTGTATCCTTTATGAGAGTAATGCCACCAGTGGGGGGGAAAAATCTTCTTAGCCTGTTATTAGAAAAGGCATTGGTTAAAGTAGGTCTGTTCCCCACTTCCCTCTCTGAGGAAGAGCAGAATGGGATGCTTCCAAAGATGGGAGATTGACTTCCACTCAGGAAGCTGGGGGAGGTGGGGGTGGGTGGGAGAAACATATGAGAATATCTTATATTAGCTGTGCAAAGGGTCTAGATCCCAGGACTATTTCATAGGTTTAAAATGAATCCTGTTTCAGGCTTGGTGGTGCAAACCCATAATCTCAGCTACTTAGAAAGGTGAGGAAAAATTACAAAAGTCTGCTTATGTGTCATAGTGAGTCAAGATCAGCCTGAGCAATTTAGTGAGATCCTGTTTCAGAATTTCAAAAAAATAAAATCAGATCATGAATCAGCTGCACATAGGGTGTTTGCCTAGCATACACAAGGCTCTAGTTTTAATGCATAGCATAGCACTGCTGAAAAGAATGGGTGGGTAGATGTATAGATGGATGTTGAGCCCACAGTTCAGGTTTTTCCTATTCTGAGTGTATAATTATTAAGAGAGGTATGCTGAGTTTGCAGTTCTGTGATCAAATAGATTACTGGTGCCAGGTTATAAACTATACTATTTGTCTGCCTGTTTCCTTGACAACTTCTGAAGACATGGAATTTCTAGAAGTACTCACCGAGGGATTAGAGCGAGTCCTCCTTGTCCGGGGTGGTGGCAGTGAAGTGATCACCATTTACTCATAGTCAGCTTGTGGAAGATTCTGCTTGGTCTTACTTTCCCTAAAAGACTCATCGTCCATGGAGATGACAGTTCTTTCCTACCACTCTATTCTTGTGGAGCTGAGCCCCAACTACGCTCTTGACTGCAACATGATCTGCCATTCCAGCAGAAGCAAATACTCTCAACATTAGAATGGTCAAGTCCTAAAAGCTATTTCTATGGCAGGGGATGGCAGGTGAAAATTAACAAGCTAAGTCAAAGGGAATCTTTTGGCACTGCTGAAGGTAGTGAGTTAGTAACATATGCTAGAAATTTAACTAAACACAACAACAAAAAAGTTAATATTCAACATTTAGAATGAGTCTCAGAAGACACAGTTCTATGATGGCACCAGAGAGGTAATAGTCAGCCTCACCTCACCTAAGTAAATGTTACCATTGTGGAGCTAGCCCATGGCAAGCCAAGTGAAACTTAGGATACTGATATACAAAACCTGAAACATAGCCACAGCCTTCTTACTCAAAAATCAGATTCCCTCCCCCCCCTCCCGATACTGTTTTATTGTCCATACTCTTCCACTGTATATCTCAACCATCTTTCTTTTTAAAAAACCATTCTGTGGTTGTAATGCAGACAGTGTTACTATAGAAAATGTTTTTCAGGTTTTCGAATGGCTGGACTAAGGAGATTCCAGAGAATACCAATTAAGATGTACAGGAACAGAGCTTGTAGTTAGCTATGCAACACAAAGCACACAATGATCATCCAAGAAATGTAGTTTGTTATGCAGCTTAACCAGGAGGGTCTCTTCTATCCTTAGTAGGCACTGATTTAAAAAAAAAAAAAAAAAAAGGTAAGGAAGAGACACTAGGACTGTGCACTGCCACCTCCGAGGGTTCCCGGCCTTAGAGGGGTTCAGCAGTGGACCTGGGCATGTGAGAGCCATACCCTTTTCATGGTGCCAAAGTCATCTGTCTAAAGTGGCAGACAGGTTTGCACTGGCCTGAAGTAAGCAGCTCTTCTTTCACAAGAAATCAACATGTGGCCTCTTCACCAAAGCCATAGTGAAGACTTGAGGCACTCACCTCCATGCCCAGAGCTGAGCTTTACTCTCTCAATATTATTCTTCATTCTGACTCCAGAAACTTGGTTCAAAACCAAGTGGTTCCCTGAACCAATGATCTGCTCTTGTCAGTTTTGTTTTCAAAAAGCTCTAAATGTGCCAAGAAAATAACTTGTGTAAGCTCGGCTTATTTTTCTAATTTATTGATCTTATTGATCATGAACACCTGGCTTACCAGTGTAGGACATCTGTGACTGAGCAGTAATTTCAAGCATGTGAAACCTTCATGTTCTTTACAAGATAAGAAACTTCTTGCTTACATACATGGCTGCTTTTAAATTCCCCTCTATTTATGGTAAATTGTGCTACGCTCCATACCCTGTAAGACATGGAACATCCAGAATTCAACCCCAGAGACAGAAGAAAACCCTCAAAATGGCTTAAGAAGCTGAGTCATATGATCAGTTCTTCATCCCCACCCCCACCCCAGGCCTACTCAAGGTAGCAGTGAGGATACAGAATCTTTTCCTGTATCTCCCTGCAGAGGGTAAAAACTACAATTCCCTTTCCAACACTCCATTGCATAGTTGAGTATAGTTCTTTAGGCTGCAAGGTGTTAAACACCAATTCTATAAAAGCCAGCTTGCCCAGGAATGCCTAACACATCTACCCCTGACCAAAATGATTAACACCTCTTTCCCTTACCAAACAAATATGGGCAGAGAATAAAGTTAACTTTTACAAAGGCTGTTTGTGGTTAGAGCTATGTAAGAATCTTCAAAAGAGTAAGAAAACCAATAGCTACTAATATAGCTATTATTTCAGTTCCTAGAACATAAAATCACTGTTACATGGAAAAATGGTTATTAAGCCAGATTTTACTCATCCCTGTCTAGAGCATTTCATGTCTATGTGTTGCTTATGTTGTCTGTCTGCAAAGTGTCTTTATCTTTTAATCACTGCAAATAAAGCAATACTGAAAACTTGAGAGAAAATGCACCTTAGGGGAAGGGGCCAATGCTTCTAGAGGGAAGAGAAAGACCTTCTCCTGCCTTCTTACAAGACCCAGCTTTTGTCTTACCCTTAAGTTTAGCAGGGCAGGCTGCAACATTCATTCTCCCCAAACTGGTCTTCCTCAACCTTTCTTAGTTATCTTAAAAGCTGGAGTTTGAACTGCAGGGCCTGCTTGACAGGTGCCAGCTTCCTCATGGCAAAGGAAAAGTCACTGCTCTTCATCTTCCGTTGTCTCCTATTCTTGTGGCCCCAAGGATCCCACCAACCCTCATTCCCCCTAAATGTTAAAAAACTTCTTATTGTGGGTATTAAAATAAGTTACACTGTAAGCATATTTACATGCTCTTTTCTGGTTTATTTTTCTTTTTATCATGTGTAATTTGAATCCTGCATTATTAGTTTCTCAACATCTTCCAAAAAAAAATGTCTGATACAGAATTTTTGTCTCTGCTTATGCAATATAGATTGAAGTGAAATATTAACATAGATTTAAGGGGAAGTTGAGAAACTTTTCAAGCATTGTTCTTGACCATTTAATTTATTGGAAGGAGATGCTGCTACTCAGCGGCTGCTATTCTTTTGTTTACATAGAGTCTTGTTTTGTTTGTTTTGCTCTGTGCTGGGAACATAAATAAAGTTTTCTACATTATTTTCAGTCAGAAGTTGTTCTGTAGTTTCTTTTCCGCTGTAACATGTTGCACATTGTCCTTGAAGAATCTCTCACTACAAAAACAATTGTAGACGTTTTGTTTCTCCTCAACATGCGTGATTATTTTAAGTGAGCATGAGCATACTTAGGAGCTGTGAGCTGAAACCGGGCAAATGAGGCCCATGCAAACAAGGCCCATGGACATCAGGTGCTGCTTCCTCAGGTTCACAAAAGTAATCCTCCACCACTGAACTCCATTCTCTAGAAAAAGAAACAGCAAAGGTGAATGGTTAATCACAAGCTCTGCCAAAGACGACATTGTAACTTCCAAACTCCTATTGTTTTATTACTTAAGAAATGAACTCTTGGGCCAGCTAGGAGGGCTCAGTGGGTAAGGGCACTTGCTACCAAGCCTGATAACCTGAATTCAGTTCCCAAAACCCATATAGTAGAAGGAGAAAACCAACTCCTGCAAATTGTTCTCTAACCTCCACAACACACATAGGTATGCAATAAAAATGTAAATGTAAAAATAAAGCTTCAAAAAAAAAAAAAAGAAAAGAAAAGAAAGAAAGAAAAAAATGAACTCTCAACACCAACTCTAATTCCCTACCATCAAATGAACGACATCCCATTTGCCTGGAATTTAACCTTACCTCAGGGGGCTCGATAAAGGCCAGCCAATCTGATGCATGTGTAGGCAACAGTCCCATGGACTGGCACTTGTAAACAGCCAGTGCCAAACCCATGAGGTTCCCAATGAGATAGACCAAACCTTGAAGAAACTTCTGACTTGAACTCTCCAGCATCTTAAAAGCTGTTGGGATAACAGACATCGTTAAAACCACTTTCTCCCAATATGAATGAAAGCAACCATGAATTTATACCTACAGACACAAAATAAGATTGTAAATATCAATCTTAAGTAAAAAGAAAACTCCACACCATTTTCTTTTCATGTCACCCACTACCACCATCACCCTTCCAAAAATACACCAAAGAATTTGCCTTCAATCTTTAGCACCCAAGGAAGGATGGTTATTTTATGAATACTTACTGGCTGAAATGGCCATAAGTGCTTGAATGGGTCGCCAGGCCATCATACACACCATCATAGTAGGGAAGATGGAGATGGTATTGCCTGCCATGTACATGATGAAGAGGTTCATAGGAATCTGCTTGAGAGGGCCCAGGGCGATGTCCCAGCAGCGCTAAAACAGAGTTTAAACCTCTCATCACTATCTTTCGTCTCACATTTACTGCATGACTGCTTAAGTCAAGTAGAAGCTTCATTTCTCAGCTTGACTGACTTTTCAGCTCCGCCACTTCAGGCTGCTGCAAGTCCCCCTTCTTCTCTACCACTACTCTTCCCTATACCAGCTTTCCAGGGGGTCTTTTTGTTTCCTTTTCAGGATGGTCTCTGTGTAGCCCTGGCTGTCTTGGAACTCCCTCTGTAGACTAGGCTAGTCTCGAATTCAGAAATCTGCCTGCTTCTGCCTCCCAAGTGCTGGGAATAAAGGTGTATGCTACCACTGCCCAGCAAGTTTTGAGAAAGGTTATAACCTTGAGATCTTGCTATGTGTGGTTGACCTACAACTTTAGATTTTTTTTTTTTGTATCATCCTCTCAACTGATAGAATTATAGATATGCACCACCACACCCAGCTAGAAATTCATAATCTTAAGATTGTGTTAGAAGACTCATCTAGCTCATGAAAGTTAGAAAAAGAACAAACTAAAGGATTTTGAGAAAACAAAAATGACAGAAATTCATTAATAAAATAAAATCATCAAAGCTAAACTTGTCTTATGCAAAGATTACAAATTCATTTCTAAGTCTGATGAATTAGAAAGGAGAGAGGACAAGTCTTTCATGTCTAGAAGGAATAGGGGAATGGGGGACAGCTCTATAATAAACTACTCTATAATAAACTATAATAAACAGCTCTATTATAAACTACTTTGCCTATTTGAACTTTATTAGGAGACGGGTAAATTCCTAGAAACATAACTTACACAAATGGAAAAGAAAAAAGGAACACACATAGTCCCGTGGCAGCTAACAAAGCTGACCCTAAGCCCAGGTGGCTTCCCTTGGCAAATTCTAACCATGTAGAGCTAAAACTAAACTAAAAATTCTACAACTCAAAACCCATGCATACCCAAACTTCAAAAGACCATTACGAGAAGTGAGTGTGTGAGTGTGTGTGTGTGTGTATAAATAAGTCTAAATGCAAAAATCCTGACAAAGGCAATGGAGAGATGGCTCAGTGTTTAAAAGTACTTGCTGCTTCTGCTGGGAACACTTTGATTCCTAGCACCCACACGGGGACTCACAAGTATCCATAACTCCACAGAGGATTCTAATTCTTCTGACTCTGAAAGCACCAGGCATACACGAAACATGTATGTGCAAGCAAAACACTGATAGGCATAAAGTAAACCTAAAAGAAAATAACCCTAACAATATAGGCAAAGTAAGTCTAGCTATATAAATATAACTGTAACTATTTTATTTGCATTTTAAAAAGCCTTATTTGTAAATACTTTCCTATAGACCATTCATAGAACATAGAATTGTTATAAAAGTAATTTATGATCTGCCTTTTTAAAATCATGTAATTTAATAACTTACTACAATGTAATCATACTTCAATGAGCCAAGATGAAAAAACAGATAATACTTATCAAAAAATTAGTCATTTTCATATTGTAAAAACTGAATGTATACATTCATTGGGATAAAAAACATGTGTTTAGCAATATTAAGACTGTGAGGGAAATATAAAAAGGAAAGTATCAAGTACCATTCCAAACACTTAGGACACACTTTTGTAAAATTCCTGAGAATATAGCTTTACAAGAGTGGAAAGACATGCTAAATAACAATATAATTACCATGTGATATATTTATAACATATATGACACCGGAAAAAATAAAGAATGCAGAATGCCACAGAAAAAGGATTAACTATGTAACAGTAGAAAGACCCTAAAGGAAAAGAACAAGCAAGTTATAATGGAATCCAGAGGAAAATCATTCCAAGAATAAAAAATAAAAAAGCAGGGAATGGGAACTTGTCTGGTACCCTTAAGGAGCAGCAAGGAAACCATTATGACAAACAACTGCAAAGGGTAGGTGATAAGGTGATAAGATGTTACAAGGAGTTTGACTGGGGCATGCAGAGTTAGTTATACATAATACTAAAAAGATTTGGTTTTTATGCTGAATGAACATGGACTTATAAGCTGATTTTGAGTAGGGATGATCTAGCATGTTTTAAAGGGATCATTTTGATGGACGTGCTTGCAGACTACAGGGGAACAAGGTAGAGGAAGTAAGACAAGTTAGAACTCTATTCAAAAAGGGATACTGGGAATTTGAGGGAGGGGGAGACTTGAATACAGGTTTTCTTTCAAATAGTGGTGGTTTTATTGGGAGTATACAATGTTAAAGCTCATCAAATTGTACCCTTTTACATTAGAGGTTCCCAAGCACGGGCAATTTGCCTCCTGGAAAACATGTGGTAATGCTGGAAACATCTTTAGTTCAACAATTACGTAATGAAATAATGGTACCTAATATTGTAGAGATTAGTACCCAGCACAACTCCCCACATCGAAAAAGCACTTAGTCTCCGATAGAAAACAGTGCAGAGTTTAAGAAATCATGCTTTATTAATTTTAAGTAGAGGGAAGGTTGATAAATGATTAGTCTACTGCAAAAATCTGGGTGCAATATGATGTAACAGGTGAAGGCAGCAAGAAATGTTAGCAGGATTGGGATTTCGTTTTTAAACGTAAAAGTAACACAAGGGACTGAAGAGATGGCTCAGCAGTTAAGAGCACTGGCTGCTCTTCCAGATGGACTGGAGTTCAATTCCATGTGTGTGTGTGTGTGTGTGTGTGTGTGTGTGTGTGTGTATACATGTGTGTGTGTGTGGTGTGTGTGTGTGTATATATATATATATGTACTTCTTTTTTTTTTTTTTTTAAGTAACACAGTATCCTGACAAACTGAAAGGACGATGTCAGGGAATGAGAGCAGGAAAGTATGCCTTCAAGAGGAAGGTGTTGCCACCGATGCCTTTTTCAACCTATTTCATAAACGCACTCTTTTCAACTGTTAACCACTTTTGGATCTTGTATGTAAGATACTATAATACGAATCTAAAGCAGTTTAGCTCCCAAACACTGAGGCAATGGCTATCTTTACCTCTACTCTGCAGAGTAAGGTGAGCCAAGGCTGGCCAAAGCCAAAATGCTATAGTAACAGCTAATACCTCTGTACCTTCTCCACCAGGATCCGGTCTGTCTCTTGCACGCTGGTATCAGGCACTTGCTTGTCCAAGTAACCGACTGGATAGAGTGAGTCTCCCTGTCCACTGCCCCGGTCACTTCGGCCCCTAAAGAACCAAGTCAAATCAAGAGACTATGACTGCTACTTTCAAAGCCCCCGTTCCCAGCTCTATCAATCACAAGAATAAAGATCCTCAGATGTAGCTACCCAAACTAGATCCTCTCGTACACTGGTCAGTTTGCAGCCTATTGGAAAGACTAAAGATCCTTAGGGGGAAATGACTTCTATGGCACAAAACCTCAGGAGACGTTTGTGTGCCACCCATCCGTGTCGGAAGCTTGTGGCCCAGGTCCGGGGGCTGTTCTAGGGTAAGGCTCGGACACCGAGCTTCACTCGAGAGACTCACCTGCTGCCTCCTCCCGGCCCGCTCAGCTCAATGGCCCACTTGAACCGTCGGCCTCGGTTGGCCACCAGGCCCTGGGTCGTCATGACGGCAGCCGCTGGCTAACGCTGCGTTGGTCCTCACGCCGCTGCGTTCCTCTCGAAGGAACTAGAGGTGCTGGTTGCAGCTGCTCCGGCTCGCTCGCTTCTGCCACTGCGCACTTCCGGTGCATAATATGTACGTCACGCGCTTCCCGGAAACTCGCTCTCGGGTGTCCGGAAGAACGGCCTTCTGCGTTTGGAAAAGCTGAAGAACCCGGCGGTGCACAGGT